GATAGAATTAGAGGATAGAATTAGAGGATAGAATTAGAGGATAGAATAGAATTAGGGAACAGAATTAGAGGATAGAATAGAGAATAGAACACTGGAAGTTTTTAAGAAGAGACTGGACAGCCATTTGTCTGGAATAGTATACAGTGCCCTGCTTGAGCAGGGGGCTGGACTAGAAGACCTCCAAGGTCCCTTCCGACTCTTGTTCTTCTGTTAAGCCAGGGCTTTAATGCTACATGGCTGCAGTCCCTTCTTTCTTTCCCCAGAGACACATCGGTGAAAGAATAAATTATCTACTTAGAGGAATTCACGCTTTGACAATGTTTTGGGGTACTTTTGCTTACTAATCCTTCACTTTTGCACCGTGGAATGAGAAGGCTGCTCGTTTACACTTTTTCCAAAGAACCGTAGGTTAGGATTTTGCTTTTAAGGGATTATAGGGATTATAGGATTTGAAGTGCAAAATATCCAGAATGCATCAGGTCAAGAAGAAAAATGATAAACCTTTGCTGCCAAATTACCGGGTGCAGAATTAATCGTAATCCATGCTTTAATTTTACAAGAGGATGCCATACATTTCCTACACAGGTTGTAGCCCTCGACTTACAACAGGTCATTTAGTGACCGTTCGGCCCTGAGGAAAAAAAATTACTTAGGACAGTTGTTCACACTTACGACTGTTGCAGCCTCCCCCATGGTCACAGAATGAGACGCACCGACTCCTGTTTATGATGGCCACTGTGTCCTGTGGGGGGGTGGGGTGTCATGCGATCCCCTCTGGCGGCCTCCTGACGAGCAAAATCCATGGGGAAGCCAGATTCACTGAACGACGGTGTTGCTCACTTAACGACTGCAGCAATTTGCTTAACGGCGGTGGCAAGAAAGGTTGCACAAACGGGGCAAAACTCACTGCATTGTCTCGCTGAGCAACAGAAATGCTGGGCTCCATAATTATATAATCAGAGTTGGAAGGGACCTTGTAGGTCATCTAGTCCAACCCCCCGCCCAAGCAGGAGACCCTACACCATTTCTGACAAATGGCAGTCCAATCTCTTCTTGAAAGTGTCAAGTGATGGCACTCCCACAATTTCCGAGGGCAACTTCTGTTCCATGGGGTTGATTGTTCTCCCTGTCAGAAAGTTTCTCCTTAGTTAGTTCCAGGTTGAATCTCTCCTTGATCAGTTTCCATCCACTGTTTCTGGTGCTTTAGAAAATAACTTAGAATAAAACAAATTAATAGCATTGGAAGGGATCTTGGAGGTCATCTAGTCCAACCCCCCCGCCCAAGCAGGAGACTCTACACCATTTCTGACAGATGGCAGTCCAGTCTCTTCTTGAAAGCTTCCAGGGATGAAACTCCCACACCTTCTGAAGGCAACTTCTGTTCCATGGGGTTGATTGTTCTCACTGTCAGGAAAAAATTCCTCCTTGTTGAATTCCAAGTTGAATCTCTCCTTGTTCAGTTTCCATCCACTGTTCCTTATCTGGCCTTCGGGTGCTTTGGAAAATAGCTTGACCCCCCCTCCTCCTCTTTGTGGCAGCCCCACAGGACTACCTGAATACATTTGCCTGTGCTATATTCTGAGTTCATATCCATGAGAAATCAATGCAGGAATGCAGGATAGCTCACCAGTTGAAGATGTTTATTAACCCCGGCGGCCATTTTAGAATCACCTTTAAATGCCGAGGTTTCCAAGCGATGCTAATTGAACGCTGTTTAAACGAGCTAAAAACGTCGCTAAAATGTCATTTTGCTTAATGATCTTCCCCGAGCGGCTTCCACAAGCCCAGCACTCGGTCGCTACATGGTTAAGGGTGGAAAAAGGAGTTGCACCCCCCTCTCCATTCCACCCCACCCCCCAAAATAAGCAATCAATGGGAGAATGGAGTTATGGAATATTGGCACCATCGCTCCCCCCAAAAAGGAAGATCTGTCAATCAACAGGAAAAGACAGCCAATAATATTGGAACTTGCAGGCCCTGGCAAAGGAAGGGAAATGGGAGGGAATGGTCAGATTGGGAAAGAGGAGAAATTGCCAAGGCTTGTGAAGAGCCAGGAAGGATTATTCTGGAATATTATTGGGGGTGGGATTCGTGTGTGTGTGTGTGTGTGTGTGTGTGTGTGGGGTGTGTGGTGTGTAACAGCCTTAAGCAAATGGCATCAGATTTTAAGTTTGGCCTTCAGAAGGAGAAAATACAGTGGAAAGTAAGAAGAGTTACGGGCTACTCATCCCAAGCAACTTAAATTTAGGAATAAATGTACAGATTCACAAAGTTGGAAGGGACCTTGTAGGTCATCTAGCCCAACCTCCCACCCAAGCAGGAGACCCTGCCCCATTTCTGACCGAAAGCAATCCAGTCTCTTCTTGAAGGCTTCCAGGGATGAAGACCCCACAACTTCTGAAGGCAAGTCATTGCACTGAATATAGATTAACAGAGTTGGAAGGGACCTTGTAGGTCATCTAGTCCAACCCACCGCCCAAGCGGGAATCCCTACACCGTTTCTGACAGATCTCTTCTCTTCTTGAAAGCCTCCAGGGATGAAGCTCCTACAACTTCCGAAGGCAAGCTGAATAAAGGAAATGCATGAAAAGAAGATCACTGGGGAACGAGTCCTTCTCCACCAGTCCAGGCAGTCTTCGGCTTACAACAGTTCGTTTAGTGACCGTTTGAAGTTACAACGGGAACTGAAAAAAAGTGACTTGTGAGCGTTTTTCACACTTACGACCACTGCAGCCATCCCCGTGGTCACACGATCAAAAATTCAGACGCAACCGACGGTCGTAATTATGACGGTCACAGAGTCCCCTTTTGCGACCTTCTGAGGAGCAAAAATCAGAGAGAAAGCCAGGTTCACTTCACAAACGGGTGACTAACTCAATACCTGCAGTGATTCACTTAACAACGGTGGCTGGAAAGAGGGTAACATGGGACACAACACTGATTTAACCAATTCCTCACTTAGCAACATATGTTCTGGGCTCAATTACGGCCGTACGCTGAGGATGACCTGCATTCAAAAAAAGGCTGAGCCTTCTCTGGCTTTGAGGCCTCTGAAGGCCCTTCTCACCTTTTGCACCAGGTAAACGCTTGTGGCTCTCTCGCTCGCCACGTCATCTAGGACGGTGCCTTCCGGGACGAAATAACTCACGTCCGCGATGTGCACCCCGACTTCGAAGTTCCCTGAAAGGGACAAAGAGAGAACATTCGTTATTCCTGGCTGCTGCGGCATGCTGGGAGTTGAAGTCCACACACCTGAAAGTTGACCGGGGTGAAGAACACGGCGTGATATCACACAACTAGCTCGACTAGCATCGCTACGAAACTATGTGGTCGGGCTTAGCTTTTGGGGGGAGAAAAATAAGGGGGAGGGGATTTGTGCCTCTGCCTACCAGCATCCATTAGTATTCCTCTGGCTAGTGTACTGTCAGCGTGTGTGAGAGAGAGTTGAGGGCTGTTTGGAAACTGAAGCAGTATTTGCTGTGTGAACAAGAAGGAGACAGCAAGGAGCCTCGGCGTGGCTTAGCTCAACTGTTCTGTACTAAAGCTGCTTGCGGCTGTGAAACTGAAACCGAAACTCCTCTCCTTTGCTTGGGTTTTGCATTTGGAACATATTTCCTTTCAGGTGGGGAGGCGGAGTAGAACTCCTTAGCATCAGAGCATGTTAATAATAATATAATATAGGAAATATTAATGCTCTGATAGTCATATTTTCAGGGGATGTCATCCACCGACTAACCTCACTTGCACGCGTCACCCCTTTACACTGTCAGAGGCCTTCAGAAACTACTTCTTCTACAGCCGGCAAGGCCTTCCTGAAGGCCTTCTGCAGTGGATAATGAAGCTTTGGATCGATCCAGAGCTTTGTTACCGGCTACAGAGGCCTTCAGGAAAGCCTTGCCAGCCTTGCTGGCTACAGAAGAAATGGACTGGCAAGGCAGGTATCGGGGGGTGCAAAACCTGGCTACACCTGTCCAAAGGTAAGTCTCAGGACTCCACAGTCGGATCTTGTTCATCCCCGGCCGGCGGGTCTATTGGCATCACGAGGTCCACACCGTCTGGGAGCCTCCAACCCTGCCCGGCTGTTCATCGCCGGCTCAGTGGGTCTCCCGACAAGGAGGGCATCCCGAAATTCCCCGAAATTACTGAAGTCACGTGAGCCCTATCGTTGGTGGCGGGCTCTGAGGTAAGTACTGCCACATTCGGAGCCTGACAGTAAGTAGTAGGGCAGCTCTACCCCACTCATCCCCACCCTAGCTTAATTTTTACTCGTCCACTCTGGAGTGGATGGGATCTTAATTAGGGCTTATTTTGGGGGGGGGCGTAGGGCTTATATTGGGCGCACGTGTAAAAATCAAGCTAGGACTTACTTTCAGGGTAGGCCATATTTTCGGGGAAATGGTATTTATTCTGTCGTGTTTATGTAGTGTATGTTGGAGGCGGTGACCCTTTGAGAGCTGTATGCAATGAACATTTCATTTCAACGCAGGCCGATTACCGTACATTCAAATGGACAATAAAGTTATTCTAAGTCTAAGACAGCCTAATAATCTAACTCAAAGAGACCGAAGTTAAGCAACGCTGCTCTTAGGCAGACGGCTGCGGGCCCGTCGAGTCAAAAACCAGGCCATCAATCCTCGAGAACAAAAGTTTTTAATCTTGCAAAAAAAGCAGCGGGAGCCAAACGGTTGCAAAAGGCTGAGGGGGAGGGAGAGAGAGAGAGAAAAGAGAAGAAAAAAAAACCTCTCCTTTTTGAAATCCCACTTCTCATCTCTTGACCCCAGAGGATAAATATTGACGGAAGGAAAAAGAGAAGGCCGTGACATCATGGCATTCGCGGCAGCCTCAATCCGAGCTGCGGCCTCTTGAACGGGCCTGAACTCCGTGTCCTCAGCCGTATGTTGACAAACCGAAGCGCGCGATCTCATTCCGGGAGATAATCAAACACGGAAGCTGCCAAGCTAAACTCTCCTTTTACCCCATTTACGCTCAGGATTCCCATCAGAGGTTTTGAAAAGCACAGGGGGGGGGCTGCCCAGAGCCTCCGCCCTCTTCCTTTCACACTTGAACTCGTGAAAAGAAAAAAGAAAAAAAAAACCTTTTATTTAGTTCCATCTCTAGACCGCACGTGAAAAGCAACGGGGGCTAAGATTCAAATCCCGCTAAAGATTCGCCCTTTCCCGAGCTGGCAGATCGGACAATGAGGCTCAGAGAGATTGGGGAATACGATCTAAACTCTCTTTTTTTTTAAAAAAAAGAAAAAAGCTGGCTACGTAAAACTTATCATTTTATCCACCAATTAATAACTGTCAATAATGGTCCTTCCATCTCCCACTCCATCCAATAACCATTGACGAGGCGACTAGGACAGGAAGCGAAATGTTTTTTTTCCTTCCTCAAAAAATTTCAGTCCGGTTTAGTGGTGGGATTCAACTGAGGTAACAACCGGTTATGTGAGCCCGGTACGTGTCAACTCGTAAAGCATGCCTGTTTCCAAGTTGCCGTAAGGGAGGGAGGGAGGGGGGGAACCAGAAGTACATTCCACACTTATCTTACAAAGATTGTAGCCTAGGCTACCGGATCTTCTACCCACAGAAAATCCTTCATTGGAGAGTGTGATTGATGACACTCAGCCCATGAACGTGTTTTGTTGGAGAATCTGATTTATGACACACCCGGTGGGGAGGCGGGAAACAGGTGACCGTGAATTACATGTGCTTCAACTGGGATAATGCCAACGTGTTGCTCCTAATAAACCTTTTGGATTCTTTTTATCCCTGGAACCCTGACAGCAAGCCCACTCTGACACATGTAATTAATTCAGAGTCACCTGTGACCCTGTTTCCCCTCCCTCCTGCCTGGATGTGTCATACATCAGATTCTCCAACAAAGCACGTTCACGGGCTGTTTGAAAACAGCTCTGGAACTTACCTCATCACTGCAGGCCCAGTGAGTAAAACAGCGGAGAGGCATGACAATCTGTCCTGCTGTGTGGCCCACACCTATCAGCTGGGCTTCAAACAAAGGAAATAGACAAGCGCAGGAGTAGGTGGACAGGGCCAACTCATTGCCAGAACTACTGGTTTGCCCGAACAGGTCCGTACTGGCTGAATCCCACCCCTGGTCTGGTTGCCTTTTCAAAATGGCGTGGAGACAATAACTTGGTCCTCAACACCAATAAGACCAAGGAGCTTATAGTGGACTATATAGAAGGAACAGATCAGACATCCAGCCCTTGCTTATCCATGGAGACCGAGGGAAGCAAGTGGCTGATTTCAAGTTTCTGGGTGTTTACCATAAAAGAGGACCTGACCTGGGGGGGTCACATTGCAGCCCTGGTCAAAAGGGCCCAGCAGAGATGATACCACCTGAGGCTTCTCAGGAAACAACAACTGGATGGAAAACTGCTGGAGACCTTCTACCGCTGCACCATGGAGAGTATCTTAACTTACTGCACCTCTGTATGGTTTGCCAATTGCACAGAGGCAGATAGGAAAGCACTCCAGAGGGTGAACGTCATTGCCCAGAGGATCCTGGGTTGCCCTCTCCCCTCTTTGGAAGAGTTTTAGAGCTCCCGCTGCCTTAAGAAAGTTCAAAACATTCTCAAAGATCCATCTCATCCTGGGAACCCTTGTTTTGAACTATTACCACCTGGCAGACGGTACAGGATAATAATAAAAACCAGGACAAATAGGCTGAAAAACAGCTTCTATCCCAGGGCAGTAGCTCTCTTGAATTCTACTGTTTAGTGCAATATTAATTGAATATCAGGGGTTTTCAATTCAATGTGTGGAGTGTGAAGGATGTGTGTTTGTGTTGATTTTCATGGTCATGATGTGCCCTGAAGATGGTGTTTGATTTTGTTGTACAAGGTGCAATGACAATAAAGTAAACTAAACTAAAAATACAAAACCGCTTTTGAGACGACGGTGAGCTGAACGACGGAGAATCTTCATAGACACAGAAGGCAAAGAAATTACAGGTAGATCTTGCCAAATGCTGCTTCTCTATCTACCTTGGTTGTGTAAATAGAGGCACAGAATCAAACTCACGTGAAGGATCAGTACAGCTTTATAAAGACTCGGTAAGGCCACACCTGGAATGCTGCATCCAGTTTTTGGTCACCAGGTTACAAAAAAGATGTCGAGAATTTTGGGGAAAATGCAGAGAAGAGCACCTAAGATGATTAAAGACACGCAGTCCTAATTATCCTCTGTTGGATGGCAGAACCAAACCAGAGAGTTATAGAGGTGCAGATGACAGACTCAATCATTCCTCTGTAGAATTTACAGATTAACAGAGTTGGAAGGGACCTTGTAGGTCATCTAGTCCAATCCCCCTGTCTGTATCAGCAGCTCCTTGGGCAGTTTGAGCTTCCTGAGTTGGCGCAGAAAGAACATTCTTTGTTGGGCTTTTTTGATGACGTTTTTGATGTTAGGTGTCCATTTTAGGTCACGTGTGTGCGGGAGATGTGCGTGCATGCGCAGAGGGGTGTGGGGTGTGTGGGGGTCACGCGTGCATGCACAGGTGGACATGGGGGTTGTGTGCGCATTGCATTATGGGTGCAGGCACGCATGTGTGGGCACACACACTTCCAGCACGCGACGACAAAAAGGCTAGCCATCACTGCTACAGATCAAAGTGTATCGAGTGACTAGAGGCAAAGACTATATGGTGTAACTAGGAGAATAACGGTTATACCTACGACGTACAATATTATGTATATTCAAAAGAGATGACATTGTATAATTATGAGAATGATAGTCATCATCAGGGTGTATAATACTATGTACACTTAAAAAAGACTCGATATAGACAGTATATCCTGTCGTTGCGGAAATGGAAATGTGACGCATAATAAAGGAAAAATGTATAATAAAAAAATAATGAAGAAAGAAAGAAAGAAAGAAAGAAAGAAAGAAAGAAAGAAAGAAAGAAAGAAAGAAAGAAAGAAAGAAA